AGTTGGTGATATACTTCTGCTTCAAAGGATAACTGTGAATTGCTCTGTCTTAAGCTCTCTTCACAGCTGAAGGCTGGGACTATGGGAGTGGTAGGTGTGCTTGCTGTCCGTAGGGTGCTTCGTTTTACTGGTCTGCTCTGGTTGTTGGTGTGCAGCAGCAGCTTAGGAGGATGACAGCTGACTGAACACCTGTTTGATTTTAAGGAAACTAAGCCTTAGTGCTGTTTGTTAGTGCCTCCCTTTAGGATGGGGAGGAAAGCCCGTCCCTCGGTGTCACTTACAGTAGCACTACTCAGTAGTGTGTGTGCTGTGACAGCAAATCTAAGATGTGGTGTGGGAATTGCATATCCTTAGAAACTGTAATGGAGGAGTTAGATTTGCTGCATTTAAGTACCTTCTCAAAGCCTACCAAGATGAATCACTCTGTCCTGAGAGGTTTTGGTGGTGATCCTCATCCCCGTGGGGAGAGTGTGGGTATATCCAATGGCTGATGTGCTATGAGGAGGTTGCTTCATGACTTTTTCCCCTCGGGCTGCAGCTTCTGGCATTCAGCTGCTTCGTTCCTGAGAAATTTCACTTTTCTGCTTGTAGTGTCTTGTGTGCCTGCTCTCTCTTGTCTAAAGGTACCCAGTAACTTGGACCTTGCTTCCTTTCCCCACTCTTGCTAGCGGATGCTGTTGTTTGCAGACCCGAGGTAACAGAGCCAGTGTAGAGCAGCAGTTTCGTAACTACTGATGTCTGATAGAAAAGGAGTCTGCTGAGATCTTGATGCTTCTGAACAGAGGCAATTTATATCTTCTTGTAGTAGCTTTTAATAAAAAAAACAAACCAACAAAAAACTACAATCCCCCTCCTCCTAATTTGGCAAGCTGGGCCAGAAGCATCTCTCAGGGTGAGCAGAGTTAATCTTCATCATTGCAGCAGTGAGTGACAGCCTGGAGGATGATAATGTGTGATTTTTTTTTTTTTTTAAATTTTTTTTTTTCTTGGTGAGCGGGGGAGGAGAGTGGAAATTGCAGTTTCTCTGCTAATTGTACTTTAGATGTCATTTGTGACAATTTCATATTGTCTAGACAGAGATAGTGGAGCAATTGCTTCCACAGAGCCTAGTGTTAGCCTGTTATATATCTGGGTAGCAAAAATTAGGGGTGTGGGAGAGGAAGAGGGTGCTGTAAGCTCCAGAAAGGATTCAGAAGTCAAGCGTGATCTACTGAAACATTTCAGTAGGAGACGCAAGCAATATGCGTTTCTCTTCTCTCTTTGCATGTTTCTCTGCTGGAAACTTTTATGTTTAGTGGCTAGCAGTTCCCTGTAACAGAGCTGCTTCTATTCATCCATAGATCATGTTTATTCCTTCTTAACAGAATTGTTTTTAACATCAGCTTTTGCCGTGGTAGGATGTTGGGCTACCTTACACTTTGGGCTTATTGAAAACAAATAGTCTGTGTCTCTTCTGGGACTTCAGGAAGCAAAAGCTATGAATGTGGCATCTAGGACTTGATAGAGTACAGCATGACTTACTTTAAAAGCTTTTATCTGCGCCTTCCTGGGGGACAGTAGGTTACGCTACCAGTGTCACAGATGCGACACCTTATTGATGATTATAGTGGTGTATCTATTATTGAACCCATTTGTCAGTACCAAATGCGTTCGGGTTTGTAACTTGGGCCTCAAGGGCTCAGTCTAAAATGAGTTAGTTAAATAATATATTTTATTTGTGTTTAGTACTCTGGTTTCAGTACACATGTTGTTATTCTCTGGAGCATTAAGCACAAAGATGGTCCATCTGGATCTCATGAGATTGCATCTTGCCTTGTTTTGTTTGTTATTGGGGTTTTTTTGCCTGCTATATGTATTTGTATCCACCTGTTTGTTGTTCTGTGATCTGGGAGGGCACAGTAGCAGAACAATTAAGAACTATCAATCAGGCTTAAAATGAGCTGTAGTTTTTAGCAGCTACTGGTAGCTGAAATATCTTTGTCCCCCTGATCTGCATGTGGCCCTCGTATGTGCGTTGTGTGCCTCAGTGTGTGATAATGCAGAGCTGAGTTTGTGCTTGGCAGGCTCTGCTGGAAGGGCCGTCTGAGCTGAGACTGTCCAACAGGGACAGCACAGGCCTCAGAGAGGGTCCTGGGGATTGTTTAACAGAGTGTCTGTGTCATCCTGCTCCCCACAACCCTGTAACTACTGGCCTTCCTGGGTGCTCCTAATGCAGCAGCAGCTCCTGTTGCTTCACAGGGCAGAGTTGCAGGGTGTGCAGGTGAAATCACAGGGCCGTGAGGCCTGTAGGGACTGTGTTTACCTGGACACCTGGTCATCCTGTGGCTCAGGCAACTGTTGGCTTGTGTTTTACTAAAGTCACACCTATTGGCTCTTATCTGAGGTGCCAGGTATCTGGTAGAGCAGGGCTCTTCAAGTGTTTCTTTCAAGGATCAGATGGGGTGTAGAGGCGGTAACTTGTAGATTCCCCAAAGTGCTGTTCCCAAGCCAAGCAGAGAAACTCCTGGCAGAGCCCCACACCAAGTTACTACACCATCTGCCCTGCTTCTGCTTTCACACCCTTCTGGTGCCCTCTGGTTGGTATACAGTTTGATTTCCTTCAGCGCAGTTGGTGGCTGCTTTCTGAAGGTGATCCCCCTAAGTCAGTCCTCTGCTGGGGCAATTGCCAGCCTTTCCAAAGGTGAGAAGAGAAATATGGCTGGAGAATACCTGGAGACACTTTTCTAACAGAGCCTGCTGGGCTGTGCAGCATGTACTGGTCATCTTCCCTTGTGGCTCTGATTTCGCTGTGTCGTTCAGTGGACAGACCCTGAAAGACTGGGAAAGAGAGTGGTGTGCGTAGTGTGTAGGCACCAAGGCTTTTGACAGGGATCATGAGTTTGATTATTTGTGAGTGCACATTATCAGGACACTGTAGGCATTGCAGGGAAATGACATCAAACAAGCCACTTGCGTTGTATGTAGGTTGCTCACACGTGTAAGGAGGCAGCTGCTGTTCCGAGGGTTGTGGCCCTGCCAGGATCCACTAGCTGTGGGAGCTGTTTCTCCCCGAGCAAGGCCGGTGATTAGGCAGGACAGTCCAGTAGGGTGGCAGCCTCGGTACATCCAGGCTGCTTGCAAGCTGCTGGTTTTGGAGTGGTCCACATAAGCAGTGCTGAAGAGCAGACTTGTAAAAAGCTTGTTGGCATTGCAGTGGCAGTAGCCCAGGCTCTGAACTCTGAGCCAGTGGTTTAGAAAAGGGACTAGCTGACTGAATAGGCAGAATATCCCTTCTGCTAATTTTAATCTGTCTGCCTTTCCCCCCAGAAGGCATAAAAGTAGTTTATATATGATGCAGGTGATAGGTATACCTCATAGGTATAGGACTTTGGGTATACCTCATAAAGATACTGCACTGTTTGTTCTGGATTAGCTGCTTTTGCATATATTTACTTGTCTGTTTGGCGAAGGAGAGGTGATTTGGTAAGGCAAGACTGAAGTATGGTAACTTCCGGGGGAGCCAAGAGATTCCTAATATCTAGCAGTGTTGAAGGTTAGAGCTTTTGACTCTGTAACCTGGGGAGTTAAGTCATCTCAAAGTTGAAGAGATTTAATAACTGTTCTTGAATAAGACAAATGGTTGCCAAGCAACTTCGTGCCAGAGAGGACAGGATTTCTTCCTTCTGTGGAGTCCCAGTGCTTTGCAGCAAGTACTGACTCTCTCAAGCTAACACATGCCTTTCCAAGTAACTGGAGCGATCTCTTGCTGTTTTCTGTGTTCTAGATTTATAATGTAAAATTTGAATACTTTTTTTTAATTGCTGGAAGCTGGGGAAGAGTTGTCTTGAGATCCTGATGGGGGCTGCTGCTGGAGAAAACGTCTCATTTGCATTTCTACTGTCTTTATATATCTAGAAATGGGAAGTTGGGCCATTCATCTGGTCCTTCTTCCTGCTTCCTGTGTTGATGCTTGCTGTCCTGCATTGCAAATGCTAACTGCAGATTAGGAGTGTGGGGCTAAGACTGACGAGTTCAAATCTTTCTCACCAATTGTCTGTGGGGGTGAATAGAACAGGTGTGGTGTTGGACCTCTTTGACTTTCAAACCACAGCAGTTTTCATTGAATTACAAAGACTGGAAAACAAAATTTAGCAGGAGTTCTGAGGCAAAAGCACTTGAAAGGGAGCTCAGCAGCCTTATAAACTTTGGCAGTTGATTTTTCCACTCTCCATACCTACCCCAAATCATCTCTCTTGTGTTAATCTAGTGGCTGCAACAGGCTTGAATGAGTCAGTCTTGAAATAATGCCATCCTCTGCTTTATGACAAGAAGTTAGGTGCATGTAGAAGCCAGGGTGGAGGACATGTTCCTGCTATATACTTCTCATTCTGCTTCCTTCGTGACTCAGACTTGCTTCGCGCATATTCAAGCTGTCTGGCTGCATTTGCATACATTTACTTCTTGGGTGAATATTTGGTATCTCTCCCTGTGGCTGATTAAGATACAGAGGAAATTTTTTTTGTAGCTGAAAACCTCTCTTTCTGAGCCTTGTGACAAAGATTGGATATCTTACTGTGAATAAACACCAGGGGTACCCTTAAAGTCCACGTGCCGAGGTGTGTTGTTTGTCCTGTGCTCCTTGGCCCATTCCCTGTGTAGGCACCTTTGGGTAGGTAAGAATTTGACAGATGGCCAATGCAGCCTTAGTGTTTATGTACCTGACAAATGGGGATGGCTTGTCTCCAAAGGAGAAGTAGCATCTGCATCTTTCTCTTGAAACTTGGAAGTGGGTTTGGGACCACTCTTCTTTAATACTCGAGGTGTTCTTTCTCCTTTGCAGTGGGAATATTACCCTTTGAATAGCTATGTGGTGAAAACACTTCCGCCATCAGTGAGTCGTTCACTATGTTGCAGAATTCTCTAGGCTGGTGATCAAAATAGCCTTAAGAGGTTTCAGAAAGTAGGGCATGAATAGGGGGGATGTTCCTGAATGGTCTTTATTGTTTGTTTTGCCTTTCTAGGAGGTTGCTGGAGTCTTCGCTCATTTCATTATCTCGCTATGATGGAGCAGGGTCCCGGGAACATCCCATCTATCCAGATCCAGCCAGGTAAGGGCTAAATGCAATCTAAAGGCATTTAAGTTTCACAGACAAAAGCATAACTTCAGTATAACTCACTGAATCCTTTGGGAATGGTTCTAATATTGGGCCTATCTCCTCCTCGATGACTTGCCATGGGGACAGGGTGCAAGCCAAATTAAAAGATGCTGTTAAGTCTGGGAGAGAATGAGGAAAGGAGGAAGAAATTGCTGTTGAAGTAGGCACGTAAGGATTCCACAGATCATTTGGGATGGAGAACACTAGGTGGCAAGCAGGTCCAACAGTAAATGAGATTATATCAATAAATTTGAAATCTCTTTTGAAGAAAAATTAAGAAAAAAACAAATAGTCTGTTCAGGAGTAAGGGAGAATGCAGTAAAGGCAGTTTAGGAGCTAGTGTGAGTAGACAGCATGCTTGAAAGAATGAAATGTCTCCATAAATGTATCTGTATGAGAGAGCACAACCAGGATGCTATGTATACTTAATTAAGAACAAAATACTGACAATTATTTCTGAAGAGTCATGAATCATTGACGTTAGACATCGAAACACCTGTAGTGCTGCTTAGTCTCCAGAAGAGGTGGGAGTATTTCAGAGGATTAGAAAAAGCAAACATGGCAGAATTATCAAAAATGGAAAGAAGTGATCTTTGCAGTTTCTACTTAGCATATTAAGAAAGCAACAGATGGGATAAAGTGACCCACAGACTCCATCAGAAGAAATTATAGAATCATGAACAGCAAGCAGCTTTGGAAGCTTTCAAAGAATAAAACGTGACAAATAAGCTTTCTTTAGATGGTTTTAACAAAGCTATGAATGAGGAAGATTCAGTAAGTGCAAAATGTATCTGATTTAGCCTCTTGGGGAACCTCTGGCATAGCTGCATGAACCAAAGTCTACTAGAATTTATTGTAAAGGATAGTACAGGAATGCAAGTGTAGGAAAATTAAGTATCTAAGTTGCTGAAGGAAGTTGTTGTTTTAGTTTTTTTTAATCTTGTTCTTTTTTTACATCTTTAACAACAAAATCTGCATTTTTATGCAGATGATGCACTAAGTACAAGTTCTGAAATAAAAAGCTAGTTGCAAACTGGCCACATGGTGTAATTATGCTGGTAAAGAGCTCCTTGCTAAGGATCTCTGTAGATAAAGCCTTGTGGAGGTGAAACCTTAGGCTTTTTTTCCATTTGTTGCAAAGAAAGTTGCTTTGTAAAGATAATTCAACGGCTCAGAGATGATGTAAATAAAACTGTAGTGAAGTGAAGGTAAGACGAGTGTGCTACCTATATGTAGAGTAATTGGGAAACCAATCTAGGTAACTGCAGAAGGTCTTGGCAGCTGCATGTCAGAATGATGCTGATAAATGTAAAAGCTTTCTGAATGACAATTGATTAGATGACAGGTAAAGGGATTGATTTACCTGGAAAGATGAAAATGATATTTTACGAAAGTTGATTAAAAGGTATTACCACATTCAGGTCAATTTATGAATGCAAAGAGCTGCTAAATGGCTGGATTCCGTATTTCTGGAATGCATAATCCAAAGCAGGCAGATTTAGTGACCAAAGATTGTGAGAACTGATTCTGGCTCTCTGGGAGCTGCCTCTTAAAAAAAGAAAAGGAGGAGAGGGCCTGCCTAGGTTACGGAATTTTTTTTTTTCCTTCTCTTGGATCTCTGCTATGATGAAACTCAATAAAATGCCTGAAAGGGATCACTGCCTGAGACATTTCCCAGTATAACGAGCATTGTCAAAAATATTTTTCTACTTGAAGCAGTTTTTGAACTAATACGATGCACTTCCTGTGACAGTTCAAGTGTTTTTACATTGTCATAGAAGCTGTAGTAGCTTGAGTTTATCAGGAGCTTTGGAAGAAAAATCCAGTGTTGCAATTTCTTCTAAGAGGGTTAATTTGTTCCAGTGTTGCTGTCCTTTTCAGATGATGAGGTTCATAGATGCATAATGAGCACGAGCTGTAAGTTTGAGTGGGATAAGATCCAGGTCTTCCTCTATAAACCTTACTGCTGTGCTAGGCTATTAGGGTCTTTTTAGCTGTCCCTTTAACTTGTTAGAAATGGGGGATGTGATTAAAAGGGGTGTTACTGCATTTTGAAGTTTTTTTGTCGCATTGTAAGTTTCTAACAGAAAGTTACCACTTTCAGATGTTCTCAAATAACAAAATGGAGAAGTGAAAGGTGAAATAAATACACATCTATATATGTCTCCCTGTGTATGTGTGTTTAAATATATACTGAAAATATGTATGTACTTGCTTAAGACCAAGCTGTCTCCAAAGGTTTTGGTTTTTTGGGGAGGTTTGGTTTTGTTTTGTTTTGTTTTAGAAAAACTCCATGATCTGAAGAATTTATTTTTAAGAGCGTGTGTGTTAGTTTTGTTTCTGCATGTGCTGTCTGTAGTGATGCTGTAGTTGAATAACCTAGGTCAGGAGTGAGACAGGGAGAACATTTTTTGAAGTTCCCTGAGATTTAGAATGAATATTCTGATGTAGACTGCAACAGTCTTTCTCAGTGGCCTTGCTGAACTTCTCTAAGGTCAGCTTGGCTGTTCTGTCATTCTCCATAATTTCTGTGTGTACTGAGCTGAGAAAACAATCTGCAGAGGAATTGAGTAAAACTGTCATCAGAGAACACATGCATATAAAATAATTTTTTTTTAACATAGAAATACTCAAAAAGGTGCTCCCAGACTGTATATATAAAGCATCACAAGGGTGTTTGGCAGATATGTCTCAAGTTAAAAATCGAGGCTGCTAGAAAGTTACCAGGAAAAGAGACCCTTAGGCTGTGGCCTGTGAATTGAAGGCTTAAATGGAATGGAAGCAACCGAAAGTTGGTGTCTGCTACCAGCATTGCTCAAGGGTTGATGATATGTATGCCACCCTTTAAAAAATGTCTACTGGCTGAGAGGCATTTAGAGGCGTGAGCTGTACTAATGTCGGTGAACATCCTTGGCCATCAGCATCATGACAGGGTTGATGGGTGGTGTTAGTACTTCTGAAATGTTAGGAAGCTTGGGGATGTGCACAGCAGTGTAGTGCTCTTGGACGCAGATACACCAGTTCTTGTGGCTGTATTGGGGAACTGGGTCTAGACATTCTCCAGCTGATGTTCTTGTGATATTTTATTTTTTTAAATTACTTCCTTAGAAGATAAAAAAATGAGGGAGGGTGAAGAGAAGCAACCTTTATATAAAAATGTTCATGTTGTCAATGAATGTGGCCAGCTGGATTGGATATCTGGCTGCAGCTGAGGACAGTGTGCTATGTAGTAGCTCACTCTTTATTACTCATGAAGCCATTTAGAGCAAGATACTTGAACTTTACTAATGCTAGCAAAACACTTCCTTCCCTCAGTTGCACTTCTCACTGGCCAGCCAGCAACACTGGGTGCCTAGAGAATGCACTGCTTCTCCATGACATGGTTGTTGGGTGAGACAGAAGCTGTTTGGTTCTGGGTTTTGCACTGCAGCATTTCTCCTGCTCGGTGCCTTGTTCTGTGGCAGTCATGTGTCAGTGTAGCCTTTCCTCTTCTGAACCATCTGCTCCCGTAAATGGGTTCCAGTCACCTCAGAGACCAGGTTAATTTAGCTCCTTTGGTGCTTTCAAATGCAGCCTACTGTCCTGTGGATGCAAACTTTAAGAACCTGTATCTGTGTTTTGTCACTCTTTTGTTAGAAGCACAGATGAAAATAAATGAACTGGGCAGCCTGCTGTGACTGGTGTGTGTTTAGCCAGCTGGTAGCCTAACTTTGGTCAGGGACTGATATACAGTTGTGTTCAATAACTGAATGAGCTGAAGAGATATGTTTAATGTTAACTGGGTGTTTCTTATGCTGCTTTGAAGCCTTCTCTTCCCTCCCAGACAGCTAAATCTCTTAGGCTGGCTCTCAGCTCTGGTTCTAATTTGTGTCATAACTGTATTCCAAAGACAGATACAGCCTGACAATTACTTTTTTTTTTTTTTTTTTTGCCCTGCATGCACTCATCTGCAAAGATTAATTCCTTATCCTATTGCTTTGAATATGTTTCTCCCCTGCCCTTTTGTATTTTATCCCTTGCACCTTTCTCTGTGTGTAAGCTGCTTGTCTTCTTCTCTTTGGAAATTTTTCACAGTCTGTTCAGTCTACATACCATGCGCTGTCAGGAAGCTGAATCTGGCATCTGATCATCCATTATGGCCAGTCTTTATTGCCTGCTCTTTCTTGTTCTTCTAAGAAGCATCATTGTGTGTTTTCTTCTGACGTGCTGCATAATTTGAGAAGACTAAATGTCTGCAAAACTCCTCCTTCATATCCTTCTGTAAACTCTCCCTTGATGTGATATTAGCAAAGGAAAATGTTCCAGTGATTATACTGCTGAACTGCTGAGACCACTGTTCATGTTTTCCAGTGTTGCCTTGTTTCCATGTCCCTTTCTTTCTCTATGTGCACATATTATGCTGTAAGCTTATTTTTTAGGCCTACACAGAGGCTTTGGCTTAGGGAAAAGGCCACAGGAGAGAACAGCTCCCCATTTATGAGTGCACTGCTGTAATGCCTTGCTTTCTTATATTTGGCCTATTAAGTCTTCAGAGGAGTGAAGTGCTGTGTTTGTACAGCAAAGGCTTCTATGTTACATAATCATGAACAGCTTTAACTCATCAAACAGTGCATAAAAGATCCCGGAGGAATCCAAAACAAGCTGAATGTTTGTTTCCCCTTGCCCTTTTGCTGCTTATTGACTAAGTTTTTAGACCCCTGAGCCTATAGTCTGTCTGCTAAACTTGCCTCTTTACCAAGATAGCAGCCTACTAGGGTACAGGGAACTTACCTTGGGGAAGATGCTCTCTCTTTGTGTCTACATGACTTCTAATTCCTTCTTTATTGCTACCTTCTCTTTTGCTTATATGCCCTGAATGTATAGCGCTACGTGAGATTGAATGTCCTTGATGGGTGTCTGCAGCCACAACAACATTAACACAATCTATCCCTTGAAGAATTAGTACATTTTTT